GGGAGCGCGGCCCGAGGGCGGCGGGAGGCGAGCCGGGGTTCCCCGGGACCCTTCGCGGGCGTTCTCCCCGCACAAAAGCTCGAGCAACCGCCGCCCGACCCGCCTGGGGACCCGGCGGAGCTGACCCGGCGGGGCGAGTGCGCCTGGGAGCCGAGCAGGGAAGGGCGGGGAGCAGCCCGGCGGCCCGAGCCACTTCGGCGTCGCCCCGCCCCGCCCCACCCGGCGCGCTGCAAACTCCGGCCGAGTTGGGGGATCACTCGGGAGAACTTGGGAGCCGGCGGCCGAGCCTCGGGGGCGGGCGAGGAGGGAGCCTGAGGGCTTCGGGGTCCCCTGGAGCCTTTCTCCCTGGGGGACCACCCCTGCTTCACGCCGACCGGCGGATGGATGCTCCTGGAGAGCCTGGGGTCGGCGCTGGGGTCACGGTGCCCTGCTCGCCGCCGGCTGCAGTTCGCAGTCTGTGGCCCCGACATTCGTGACGGTGTGTCTGTCACGATACAAGCTGCAGGAGCCGTGTCCTTGTTCGGGGAGAGTGCCACCGCAGTCGCCGCTCTGTGACTGCTAGTTGGAGACACAAAGGTTCTTTATTATCCTCTGTGCCTTAGAGCAGGGAACTACTCTAAATCTCAGTGAGCTGGACTTTGAAAAAGTCACTTGTTAAATTCAGTAGTTTGTCTTATTTCCATTTTGATGTCCGTCCTGGAGCAAGAGTAAGAATAGAAAGTCAACTTGTAGTGCCTTCCATCAAGACACCCAGACCTGTGGATTGTGGTCATTGGTTTGTTTACTGTCCTGGTCCCTTAGTGTGGCATTTGACGTTTACCCAACTGTTGCTCTATTTTTTATGAGTAAATCTGCCTGGCAGTGCTTGGAAACGCAGTGCTTCCTTTAGCGCTGGGCTGTTTTCAGCCTCGTGAACAGCTTCTTTTAAGAACACGCGCAAAGCGTGTCTCTAGAGAGGGGTCACGCTTTGTTTTTGGACTTTTAAGAGAAGTCTCGAGTTTGCCTTTTTTCAGTACAGAGTTTTTCTTATGTAAATATTTAGTTGCTTATCAAGGCTGCTTCATTCAGAAGGTGCTGATTAGTTATTTTTCATTCTCGGATGAGAAGAGAAAAATGGATTCTAATTTAAGCACCTCGTTTGCAGCATCGTAGATTGATATAAGACATGAAACAGTCCAGAGGTTAGAATTGATTGATGAATACACTGGAGAAGATGTGAATTCCTTAGTCTGAATATTGGATTAATGCATTTTAAGAATATTCTTGGCCTCCAGTATTTAAGAAATAGCTGCCCATCTTAGAAGACTTTTCCCTCAGCAATTGAAGATGCTAAAAGTGCAGGAAATATCACAGTTAATGTTAGTCTGATCTTCTCTTTTAATTAAAAGTTACATAAAGTATTGAACTAGAATCATTCTAGGTTGTTAGGTTGTTTTATTCAGAGTCCTAAAAGGGTGGGAGGTGTTCAGAGAGCAACGTTAGCTTTGACCATTATGAAGCTCCTGCAAACTTGGGTGGTTTTATAATCAGTACTCTTTTGGAGCGCCACTTTGCTTAAATGAATTATTTAACCCTCAAAGCCAAGATTGCTTACATTGTTGTAAGATTATAGAGTGACAAATTGGTGTGTTTTATGGTTTTAAATTTTTTCGATACACCTTATAGGAAAAACACAAATATTAAATATTATGCATGTGTCCAGGAGATCATTATATTTTGCCATATTTGGAGACTCATAAAACTACAAAATTTAGAAACTAGTCATTTACTTCAGTTCCTCTGGGCTACAGTTTTCATGTATTTTTTTCTTTCTGGATACAGAACAGATTTTTCTCCTTTGTGATACAAAGTATTAAAATGCTGCAAAACCAACTAAAATAACTGTTACAAATAGCAGAGGTTATTAAATGTCTAGACATTAAAAAAGAATCAGTGGGCCCGGGAGATGGCTCAGCAGGTAAAAGTGCTTCCTCTCCAAGCCTGAGGACCCGAGATTGATCTGGAGAACCTGTGTAAATGTTGAAGGAGAGAGCCAGCTCTCCGAAGTTGTCCTCTGACCCCCTTCACATGTGCTCCATGACACATAGAGCACCCCCCATCATACACCCGCAAATGCCCACATCATATATGCATGGAGGTGCACAGATGTGTGGACACATACACAAATTAAAATAAATTAAAACATGAATTTTCCCTTCTGGGCTTCAAGAGGGAGGGTAATTAGAATTAGAGGTAGTAAAGATTTTTGATTAAATACAATATCATTCCAAATGTAGAAAATAAGGTTTTCTGTGGTAAGTTATAGTATGTATTTTTAAAAAGACTTAAGTGGGTTCAGCGTGTAGATAGGAAATTTCTAGATAGTTGTATGAAGAAAAGTCAGTTGTTGAAGGATTATCCATATGAATTGTGTATTGCATTTTTATAAGAGATTTAAAAAAATTTTTTTTTTTTTTTTTTTTTTTTTTGGGTCTTTTTGAGACAGGGTCTCTCTATAGCTCCAGCTGGTCTAAACTCGCTATGTAGGCCAGGCTGGTCTTGAACTCCCAGAGATCCGGCTACCTCTGCTGCTTGACTGCTGGGATTAAAAGGCATGTGCCACCAAGCCCGGCAAGATTTAAACAATTTTAATATGTAGTTTCATGAGTAAGCTAATTTAATCTCTATGATTCGATATTAATAGGAACTTAAAAACATTTTGTAGCAGTCGATAAAAACAGTAATAAAAAGTGATTTTAAGAGAATTTTATTTTTTTATGTTTCCGTGTTGGCTTAAATGAGTTTGTAATATGTAAGGACTGTTTTGAGGTAACAGTATATTACTTTAAAGTGCTTCTGCATGTAGTGTTCGTTAATGCCTTTCCTGCTTAGGTTGTTTAAATTTTGTTTTATCTGATTCACTAGATTTACAATACATTTTTCTAATTTTATTTATTTCAGATGCTGGATGAAAATAACCATCTTATTCAGTGTATAATGGACTATCAGAATAAAGGAAAGGCCTCAGAGTGTTCTCAGTAAGACTGATAAGAAACTTTTGTATTCATTTTTGTGTGTGTTTTTCTCTTTAGTAATAATTTAAAAGTTATAATTATTTCAAAGTGTACATTTCAGTGTTTGAAAGTTTATTCCTGGGTTTGCGGTACTGTTGCCTCAGTTTGAGACCATTTTCATCACCGCAAGGCAAACACCGTATCTGTTAAGCATAAGCAGTGATGGGTTTCCTTCCATTCTCTTACCCTGTAAACGCTAACTTACTTTCTACTTGTATAGATGTATCTGTTAGGAACATTGTGAGTTAACAGATTCCAACAATATGTGGTCTGTTTTGACTGGATTTTCTTTCTTTCTCCCTTTCCCTCTTCCCTCCCTTCTGTTTTTGAAACAGTCTTATGTAGCCCAGGCTGGCCTCCCAAGTGTACATACATTATACCCACCGGCCACACATCCAGTTCTGACTGACTTTGTTTTCACTTTGCATGATGTTTTTCAAGGATTATCTATCTGCACTGAAGCATTCACCAGTACTACTTTTTATTGTCAAATCATCTTCCATCATACATTATCCATCAATCATGAAAATTTAGGTCATAGTTACTTTTTGATTCATGATACTGCTGTGAATATTTGTATATAAGACTTTCTTTTTTCTTAAGATTTATACAAAAGAAAATTCCTTTGTGATGGGAGGTGGGTGTCAAGTTTTGTTCTGTTTTGTATGTTTGGGTTTTTGTTGTTGTTTTGAAGCAAGCCCTGGCTGGCATAGACTAGGCTGACCTCAGACTCACAGAGATCCACCTGCCTCATGCCAGGCAGGTGTCAGTTTTTTTCTTTCTTAAAATATACTTCTGCTGGGCGTGGTGGTGCACGCCTTTAATCCCAGGCCTTTAATCCCAGCACTGGGGGGGTGGGGGGCAGAGGCAGGCGGATCTTTGTGAGTTCGAGGCCAGCCTGATCTACATAGTGAGTTCCAGGACAGCTGGGGCTACATGGAGATCCTGTCTCAAAAAGAAAAACAAAACAAAACAAAACAAAAAAACATTTCTTATTCTCTATTATAAAGTAGTGACTTTAAACTTATTTGTAGCCTCCTCTGTGGGAAAGTCATATCTTCACATGTGCTACATTTAGTTGCTTCCATATGTGGATGAGAAAGCAAGACTTACATGTCATAGAGAACTGGCTATCATTTACAAGGACCAGCTTTTATTATTTTGCAGTGATATATCTACAGTAAATGATATACCCTAGTGGAACCAGATGTGAGGCCTGATATGCTGCTTTGTGTAGATAATCCCAGCAGCTTTGAGGTGAAGGCAGGAAAATCATGAGTTCAGGGCAAGCCTGAGCTATACAGCAAGACACTGTCTTTGAAAAACAAAAACATGGGGCTGGAGAGATGGCTCAGCGGTTAAGAGCACTGACTGCTCTTGCAGAGGACCCAGGTTTGAATCCCAGCACTCACATGATGTCTAACAACTATCTGTAACTCCATTTCCAGGGGATCTTGTACCTTCTGTCCTCCATGGGCATTGTATGACACGGGTCCACTAATACACATGCAGGCAAAACACTTATAAAATTAAAAAAAAACAAAAACCAGCCGGGTGTGGTGGCACATGCCTTTGATTCCAGCACTTGGGAGGCAGAGGCAGAGGCAGGTGGATCTCTTGAGTTCAAGGCCAGCCTGGTCTACATAGGGAGGTCCAGGCCAGCTGGGGCTACAGGGAGACTCAGTCTCAAAAAAACCAAAAAAAAAAAAAAAAAAAAAAAAAAAAAAAAAACCCCAAAACAGAACAAAAGAAGAATATGATATGGCAGAATAGTATATTTTGTCAAGCGTCTCTAGAGTACCGTTGTCTTGTGGATATATGTGAATATAAACCACATTTTCTAGTAGACGTCCTAAACAAAAAGAAGTAAAACTAATATGTTTTACTTAATTCATTATTTCTCAAATACTGTTACTTTAATATGTAATCAGTATAAGAGCACTGGGATAGTTTATGTTCTTTTTTCATATTGGGCCTTTGAGTCTGTTGTATGTAATGCTGTGGACTAGCCGCCCTCGTATGATTGCACTGTGTTACTGTCTAGTGAGGGTTGCACTGGCAACACAAGTTGAGGGTATTTTCCTCAGACCATTGTTTAGAAGCTTACATTTTTCCAGAGGTCTCATTTGCCTGTTCTCAGAAGATAGTCTCAGCAACCACTGCTTTCCTTATTTTTCCATGGTCTTTGGTAGTCCTTGCCCTCATGTGATTCACTCTTTATTTTTGTCTTTTTTGAGACAGGGTCTCCCCGTAGCTCCAGCTGACCTGGAAATCACTATGTAGACCAGGCTGGCCTTGAACTCACAAAGATCTACCTGCCTCTCCTCCCAAGTGCTAGGCTTAAAGACGTGAGCCACCACACCTGACATGTGATTTACCCTTAATCTGAATTTTAAGTCTCCATTTTTTTCTTTGTTTAAAAATATTTTGAAACTAAAAAATCCTGTATTTGGTCATAAAAATTTGGTAAGCTAACCTCTTAATTCCCTTTGTCTCTATTTCCCTCTCTTCCATGCATACTAATATAAATATGCAATATAGATTATGATATTCTAGTGTTTATATAGGTAACTCTTTTTTAATTGTGGCTTGTGGATCAAATTGAGGACCTTGTGTCTGTTAAGAAAGTGCTATCCCTGCAAAGCTACATTCCCAGTCCTAGGTTACAGTTCTTAAATGGATTACTAGGTCAAAGACTGCTAAATTGCCAAACTACCCTGCAAGAGATCTCATTGGTTTACTTTATCTTAACCAGGTTTTCAGAGTCCTGGTCTTCAACCTTCCTTGCCAGCAGCAGATGTTAGCAGTCTTTTGAGAAAGCTTCTACAGCCGGGCTTGGTGATACACTCCTTTAAGCTCAGCACTCAGGAGGCAGAGGCAGGTGGATCTCTGTGAGTTGGAGGCCATCCTGGTCCCTTGTTTATGTAGTGAGTTCCAGGCCATCTGGGGCTATAGGGAGACCCTGTCTCAAAAAGACACCCCCCTCAAAAAAAAAAAAAAAAAAAAAAGAGAAAGAAAGCAAGCTTCTACATTTGATTGATAACAAATGATAGTTTATTAAATACTAATGAAAAACCCTCAAAGATAGTAAAAGAAATTACTGTGTTTTCACTGAAATTCTTCAAATGATAACATATTAACCAATTGCTCTTTATTTCTTTCCTGTATTTTTATGAATATTTGAGAATGATTATAGATACGATTCTCTTAATGATCTGAGTGTTTTCTAGAATCCAGAATGTAGTCTTAATTTGCCCCAGTGTAAATGATGCAGCCAAGGACACAGCTCTATAATCTTAGACCTTTTACGTTTTTGCCAGTTGTTCCGTTCATGTATTTTTTCCAGATCCTGATGAGGATCAGATTTTGCATTTATAGGTTATGTGTTGTCACTGTACTTAATCTGCAGTTCTTCCTCAGTCTTCTGTGTTTAATGGTGTTGACATTGAATATAGACAAGTTATTTTTTTCCAGTGTTGCTCATTAAAACCCAAGCAGTGTTTTTCCATGATGAAATTCACACTGTGTACCTCCTACTTGCATGGTTTTTGTATGTGTAGATTACTGCATTAACTAGGGTTGCTTGCAAGGGTATGGGTTGGAGTCATTTACTTGAGCTAGGGCAACTTATCTGTGGCCACACACGGAGGATTATGAGTCCCCTCCCCCAGCTAACTAACTGCCTAGACCACCTCAGGGAGGGGGCCTTTAACAGTCACTCTGTTTTCATGAAGGAATTAAGTTATTTTTCCTATACTTGTAGGAAATATCTAATCAAAGTTGGACTATCAATTCCCAGACAACAGCTGGGTGTGGTGGCCCCTGTTTTTGCTCCTAGCACTAGGATCTCTGTGAGCTAGAGGCCAACCTGGTCTATTCTTAATGAGATTCAGGACAGCTGGGTGTACTAGGGAGACCCTGTCTCAAAACCAACCAACCAACCAGCCAACACAAACAGACAAACAAGCACAATTCCCAGATAGCTGACATTAATGTTTTTCTTTATTTTCCTTTTGTTTCTTCTACTATGAGAAATAAGAACATTTATTAATGTTGAGAGGGGCTATTTCTCTTTATTTACAAACTGATATTGACAACTTAAAAAAGAATGGGTATCTAAAGAGCAGTAAAAATGAAGCTAAGTTCACCTAAACTAGGGATGGTAGCACGAGTGGGGGTGCGATAAAATTCACCATCAAGGGGAAATGTAAGTTTCTACTTTAAATCATTTAAGCCCAAGTTGTATTAATTCCTCATGTAAGGAATTTCCATGAGGCCTTTCTAATGTGCAGAGAATGAGGGAAAAGATCATATGCATACATACAGGAAAAGGCTGAGAGTGTAAATAAAACGGTATAAACTCTTGCTGACAAGTGGGAAAAGTTGGTTCTAGCTATCTCTAACAGGTACTCAGTCCAGTGAAAACTACCTGTCCTATAGCATAAAGTTACTTCACTCTATCTGGGCTCTTAAATGCCTTAGGTGAAAAAAAAAATGACTCTTGTCAATCAGTGCCTTGCTACTTTAATCAATCATTCTTGACTTTGAGTAGTGATCTCAGTGTTAAACTGCAAAAAAACAGATCGGCTAGGCACTCTTTTAAAGGAATTTTTCAAATATACAAAATTTACTGAAGGAACCACATATATAAATGGAAATGTAAAATGATGAGGACATAAGATAACCCAATACCCAGAGTTTGGTTTCTAAATATCAACACACACCCAGACACACACACACACACACAGACACACACACACACACACACACAGGCTTAGAGATACAGGTGAGTCCAGATTTACACAGGAAGAAATATAGGATAACATTTTGTGGCACAAGAAAATAAAATGCTTAAAAAAAATAAGAGCCATGGAAGGGATGAGATGCCTTCTGCTGAAGAGATGGCTCAGTGGTTAAGAACAGTGGCTGCTTTGGTAGAGGACGTAGGTTCAGTTCCATGTGGC